GCCAAAGCCTATGTAACTTTGTAACATGGAAATCGAAACTCTAACTCCTATTAAAACAATGCAATCGTGTAATTAATAAACAATACCTATGAAGTCGCATGTAAACAACTCTTTCAAAGTTCCTCCACAGATCGGAGCTACTATTCTTTAAAATTAAATAAAAAAAACGTTTCTCCTTTTGTTTAAGATGAGAAGTGGGTCTATTCAATGCATAGAATGAGGAGGAAGACAAAAAATGAAACAAGAGGTAATGTGTAGGTCTACCACAAAACATGGTCCATTTTATAGCTTTGGACAGGAGCCAAGTGTGTGGTTTTTTAGTTTTTCAATGTCTTTGGGACCAGAGATACACTGTACCCGTTTCCCCTCTTCAGTTTCTCCAACGCAGACCAGCCCTGCCAATTATCGTCACTTTTAATTCAATTTTCTCATAACAACAAGATAATTTGATTATTCAAAAATAAATTAGTTTTCCTAGAAAATTACAATTTCGTTATTCATACTTTATAATTCCAGATATTTACTCTTTCCTGGAAGATTAACAATAATAAAAACAAAAATCTGTTACTTAAATTTTTTATAATTAAATGAAGTTCATGATTAAATGTTATTATACAATATTTTTAAATATATTATGATTACCAATCAAAACCAAATTAGTATGGCCACCTTGTTCCATTTGATGAATCATTTCAAGAATATCAACATGACATACATGGTTCGCCTGTTATATATCAAACTGGTCTACGACCAACAAAATATTTATATATCAAACTGGTTTAGATTATAGTATTAGAGAGTAGTTTGGATATTGATCTGGTTAAGTGTAAACGGGTCAATTAGGTAATTGTTCAGTTATCTCATGTAAATATGTAATTAACCATAACTCTTTTTCTAGCTAGAAGCTTAAGTAACAACTGTTGGTGAATTCAATAACAGAAAATCATCCTTATCTTCAAGGTTGTTCTCTAATATGGTATACGAGCGTTGAACTTGAAATCTTAACAATTCTTATATATAATATTTCGTTTTCCTGTCTAGATTACTCGGAAATTCTTCTATTTCGATATTTTATTTTGGTTATTTCACCATTTCTTGAGTTCGGTTTTGGATAATTGTGCCGAATATCAGCTCAATTTCTTGAGTTATGGTCTAGACGTTGTGGGAGTACTTATGGTCGCTAGTTCGATGGAGAGGGATGATTTATGTTTCACAACGTTGATATTATAAATTATTAACGTCTGATATCTCGAGTACAAAGACAGATTATGGCAAAAAAAAAATTCCCGAATTTCCCTAATGTGAAAAGAAAACTAGTTCATTGAATAAGTTGTCGGTTTATATTCCGTTTTGACCGGTAAGACTGTTAACTAAGACCCACTTGAGTTGAAGCGTATAATTAAAATAAAACCGGCCTGCAACGTAACTGCCACGGCCAGATTCTGCCTCTCCCAATCTTGACCGTCCGATCGAGAAGTAGACAAAATGCTGTACACGACGGTTTATATATAAAAAACATATAAGAACTGTGGCTTTTGTATCACAACCACAAATTTCATTGATACTATAATACATAACGACCCCTTTATGTATAGTAGTATATAAACACAAATATTGCAAGCAATAGTAGTTATACCATCCATCAAAACAATGACTGGATGTTTAACTCCATTTTTACCGTGAATTTTCTCAAAAGATAACATTTTAACATGAAACTCTAAATTTTAAACACTGTTGACTTTAAATAAAAAAATGTGCTTTGTTATGCTAAATCGAGCTGTGTCCAAAGCAACTTGCTTGGATATTCTAACATAGACTTTAAGACAGGTAAGCATCGAGTCTTGAAACTCTACGAATAACCCGTTGAATCAATCCCACACAACTTTGTCTCTCTAAACAAATGCTTATATTATATTATTATATATACAAACAACATTCATCGAAATTAGCTTGATCGTATTCAAAGTACAAAAAAAAAACTCGCTAAAACTCACAATGGGGTCTGAAAATGGAAGCTTGATGATAAGAAACGAAGACGAGAACGTAGCTTTGATCTTCGGAGTCACCGGACTCGTGGGTCGTGAGATTGTAAAGACGCTATTAACGTCGAAACTCAAATGGAGAATCTACGGTGTTGCAAGAAATCCTGAGATCAATCCCATGACGAAGACCATGTACAGGTTCATCTCTTGCGATCTGCTTAACGAATCTGAGACCAGAGAAAAACTGTCTGCATTACAAGACATCGTGAGTCACGTGTTCTGGGTCACGTGGTCTGGTGAGTATCCATTGGACAGCGACGAGTGTTGTGTCCAGAACAAGACGATGCTGGAAAACGCTTTGGACGCGATTCTCCCAAACGCTAAAAGGTTAAAGCATTTCTCGCTACAAACGGGGATGAAGCATTACGTGTCTTTGGTCGGAGAGACTCTGTCTCGAGGAGAAGCTTCTAGTTATTACAGTGAGGAGTGTCCGAGGAAGAGCTCTGGGAGGAATTTCTATTACGTTTTGGAGGATTTGTTGAAGGAGAAGATCTCTGGTAATGGGGTTGTTTGGTCGGTTCAGAGACCTGGTTTGCTAATGGGAAGCTCAACAAGAACTCTGTATAATTTCATGGGAAGTCTTTGTGTTTATGGAGCGATATGTAAGTATATGAAACTTCCTTTTGTGTTTGGTGGAACAAGAGAATGTTGGGAAGAGAGGTACATTGATGGTTCTGATTCGAATCTAGTCGCGGAACAGCATATTTTCGCTGCGACTAGTGGGAGAGTACGCGATAAAGGTGAAGCCTTTAACGCCATTAATGGTGTAGGGTTTACTTGGAAGGAGATTTGGCCGGATATCGGGAGGAAACTTGGGGTGCAAGTTAACGAAACGACGATGTTTGATGAGGGTTTCTCGTTCGAGAGAGAGATGGGTGAGAAAAAGCATGTGTGGGATGAGATTTTGGTGGAGGAGAAGCTAGTTCGGACAGAGGTTGAGGATTTGGCGAATTGGGTTTTCTTGGATGCGTTGTTTAGATGTCCGGTTAAGCTTCTTGGGAGCAGAGAGAAAGTAGATAGGTTTGGGTTTAAGAGGAAATATAGAACCCTAGATTCCATTTTGTATTGGATTGATGTGATGAGAGATGAAAAACTCATTCCTTTGTAACAAACACACAATGTGTTTTGAATTTGCTGCTTTTGGAGTTTTGGTGCACTTAAATTTCAGAAAATGGGAAGATTAGGTTTTGTTTTAGCAATGTAAATCATGGTATGTATTTTGATTAGTAATCTTTTTGAATAAATGAGTTTTCCACAAATTCTTTTGAGCTAAATCATTAAACCAAAATCCATAATTAAAGATTGTTGAAATGTAGCTTAGTTCAGAAACGCGTCTAACCAACTGTGTCATTATATATGTATAAATTCTGTAGTAAGCATCTTTATAAGGTAATGTCTTTGGTCATCTAAAGGTATTGACGACTTCACACGTTATAAGATTGAAGTAGTGGCAGACCATACTTGAAACAGTAAGATAATTGGCTGGAGTCAGTTTGTTTATAAATGTTGTGATTACATAAACTATTTTCTTATTATTTATGCTTGCTGCATAAGCAATACAGATGAGTTTTGGCTGTCAAAATGACGTAGAGCAAGACTTTTAATCCACGCATCACCACTGAGATCAAGAACAAGTAACAGAAAATCAGTGCAGAGCAAAAACAGAAGAGAAGTTCGCTATCCTTGCTGCAAAATATATACAACAAAAAGAAGTTTAAAGGAAAGACCACAAAATAGCCGATTATGCCCCCAAAAAACAAAAGCAAAATCGCCAGCCATAGGCAAAACAGGGCATTCAACTAAAACAGAGCATGTACAAGAATCCCTACTAGAAAAAACAGAGTTATACATTAGAAAGACATTCTTTCTTCATCTTAAGTTTTTGTCTTCCGAGTAGACTTTGTTGTTTTTGCTTGAGACTTGTTGATTTTAATGTTTTTGCCTTTAGAGCTAAACATG